TATTATAGATATATATATATGTTTTTTTATGTAATTTCAACACAAGGCTACAAATGGAAAATATATATTTCAATCAATTGTTCACATTGAAGTACATCGTGCAACGGTACGGCACTATTGGCAGCTTAAAAGGGTTAGGCAACCGACAGTTGATTTTAAACTACTTCGAAGTAAACGACATGGTGATATATATATATATATTTATATTGTCAAATCAATTCGAAACTGGAGCCTTCAGCAGAATCAAATGTCGTAAGAGAATGGAATAAAGAACCGCCCAAGCCAATCAAATCACGTTCTGTCGAATATCTGCCAATCCAAACGTTTGATTCGACCCAGTCCCTTCGGATTGGGCAAACCCACATATATATACTAATCGGTATAACTGCACAATTATATATATATATATATATATATCAAATATTACCTCGCCACATTTCCGACACGTGTGTTTACGATGGAAGAACTGGAACCGCTTGTAGCACAGCGCACATTCGTTCTTGGGGTGGTGTAGATGGGGCAAGTCCAAGTCGCCAAGCAGGGGTTCACACTCGAGTCGCTGTTCCTGGAGTACCTTGTTGAGATGCGATAGCGCCGAGAGCTTTCGCCGCGCCATAAAGTCCGACACGGCTGGCGATGGCCCCTTGGCGTCCAGGTTGAGGAAGTAATGGCATTCGATCTCGCCCGCTTTCAAAGTCTCCATGAACACAAACCCGGAATTGTACACGCTGGCCCGGGTCAACTTGAGCGCGTCCAGCGGCGGACAACAGGCGAGTTTGATCGAGTGCATCGAGTAGCCCCAGCCGCGGCGGCCGTCGGGGGTGCGGAACTCTTCGTGGCACTACAAGCATCGACACTTGACGAAGAAGCATGGGCGACAAAACGGTACGACACGTACTTCGAGGTAGAGGAAGTCGCGGTGATGGGAAAACGGGACAGGTGACTTGACGCATTCCCAGAAGATGCCGACGTAGTCTCGAGGCCGCGCGCCGCTGGGACGCACCAAGTTGTACAGGACCATGCTGTCGAGGATGTCTTTGCGCGACTTCATGAGATTCTGGCCGCGGTCTACCTTGAACTGGAGCGCGATCTCTTCGATCGTCGCGCTCACGGTCGTCGTCCCGCGAATGAGCTTGGCCGACGAACACCCCGCCTCGGACGACGAGAAAGGGCCGCCGTGCTTGTACCCGGAGGATACAGAGTACTGGTTGTCGGAGATGCTTGACATGTACTCTCGAAGTGGCGGTTGAACGTTCTTGCTGATCCGCACCCCGTTCTTGACGCTCACGGTGGACCACTCCGAGTTGGGACTGTACGTGGTTTCAATCAGTCGCTGGCAACTCGTGCGCGCAACTTGGATCAACCGCTCCTCTTCGTCATTCCCTAGCTCGGGGCACTCAAAGTAGTCCCGCGGCAGCGGCAGGACATCTCGCGCCGACACTGGGAGTCGCATGGATGATACTGTGCACACTACCGATCCTCTCGGAGCGATGTCGACGGAGGTAACAACTCCAGCAGCAGCCAGCACCTATGTGACAGAAAGGGTCAGTTTGAAATCCGATCAAATTATCCAATATAGTTCATATTAAACTATGGAGGATGCAATCGGTTCGACGTTTTACCTTCAGGACAATTCATATTATTCGGTTTCGTGGTCAAATTAGTTTTCAAGGTTTATAGTGTCCAGGAGGTACGCGTGTGAGATTGCACACAACGAGGGACGACGCTGTTTTACCGGTAGATTGAGATGCGTTTAGCAATACTAGAGCGGAATAAAGTTTGCCAAAGTAACGTTACACTGTTGAGAGACATCGACGAGGTGTGTGTATGCCGACTGGTTGCATAAAGAGACTTGACTTAAACATGTAATTAACAAATGTATATGCAGTATTTCGTATTGTGTGGATCGGATTGGTCATAAATACATTGATGTAGAAGGTACTGACCAATCGAAGAGTCGCATTTCACGATTTACGACTGTGCGGATTGTGATTGAGTGTGTAGCGCAGTTTGTACTACTTACCGTACACCGTACACAATATCTACCTGGACTTTATTTCTACTCGCTCACAGTAACTACCCTGGAAGCAAAACAATTACGCTACAATACCCCGACCAGCATTGTGTTATCCGGAAAAATTGGGGAATAACCAATCAAAAGCTCGGAATATCTTGAAACATGGACAGAAATATTCCGCGACCTGTACTAACGTTAGAACATCCCCACCGGCTGAAAAGACCCGTTTATTGGGTGCGTACTTTGAAGATTTTTACATTTCTACATCAGCCGGTGGGGATGCTCTTAGAAGTACTTCGAAGTAACAAATGTGTATTTGACTTGATGTTTGTACGGGTACTTAAACTACTACTTGAAGTGCGTAGTATATTTCTTTTATTCTCACATGATTCGGTAGAACTGCATCTCCGTTTGGCAAATGAGGGCAACATTCAGGTCCATACAAAATCCAAGTGTACTGAATCCGTCATTAAAAAGTTCCTGTGGTTTTCGGTCAACGAACGCTTTTCACCTAGGTGAGTTTGATACTAGTACACGCTTTCCCCGTAACGTTACTGGTAGTCGTATCTGCGTAGTACTAGTCAAGTCCGTACTATTTATACGTACCAGTAGGCGAGTATCAACATGTGCATGCGTCAGTTGTCCTGTCGACGGACTCGCCATGTCATTCCTACTCATTGGACGGCTGGGAAATCGCCTGGGCAAAACTCGCAAAACGTAATATATTTTTGAATGAAAAGTCGGACAAGTCTTACTGAAAAATGGATATAAAATGTTTTCGAAATGTAAACAGCCCAGCTCTCATTTTGTAAACTGAAAATTCAATACATTGACCTCAAAAGCCCTATCTAAACTTTGTCCAAATCCTTCCAAATGTTTTGTCCATAGTACCTCAGATTCATGAGCTTCATGTTGGTTCACGTGAAATCGCACCTCGAACATTGAACTTTCGTCAGTTTCGTCAGCCTTAAACCCAAAAAACCCAACCTAAACCTCCTTGAATGTAAAATCGCTATTGCTCGTGAAATAGAGTGCAACGTCGAGATTACGCTCCTTCAGTAGAGTCAAAAGTATTCTATTTTCGTTTGAAAGTCAACCTGTCGAATTTAATACGGTTCCATATTGTGGGTTATGCCCACGCCAACTGGTTTTCGTGATTCTTGTGACCAGTACAGTGTACCGGTAGTAGATACTATAATAGGACTAACTTAATGCAGTACTACAGTACTAGTAGTAGTTTCCTACTAGAAATAGCCCCTGACGCGTCAGTGTTGAAAATATACTTCCAACTATACAATTGTAACAAAAGACCTGATCGATACACTTGGCGATACATACATACACGTATAGTAAGTACCACAAATCAATCACTTTTCAAACCGCCTGCATCTGTTCACAGTACAAACACACTGTACACAAATACTGTTATGTACGACTTCAAGGAAGTTATTAACTTGTTACCATTAAGAATACATCCTTCGAATTTTATTAAGTTATACTACGTAGTATTAACTTGTTACCATTACAGTAATAATATATCCTTCGAAGTATTATTACTACGGGACGTGTCGATGATCTTCTTTATGTACAGTAATGGTAGGCTGACGACGACGAGTTTAGTTAGTTGATGGATGATCTACTAGTGTATACTACTACTACTACTACTACATGGCGACTCGCAGCGCCTTCATTTGCTTGTACAATGCGACCACGTCGTCGTCGTGGTTGTGGCTCGATAATGATGTTGTTGTTGACGATGATGATTGCGCCGGGCCATTTAGCGTGAGTTGCACCTTTTCACGGAGTCCTTCCAGCTGCAGCGTCGAGTCATCGTCGGAAAAGCTCAGACTCGAAGTGGACGTGGCCGTGGCGGGTGTGTGGTTGGTAGTGCTCGACATAAACGACGAGTTGCTTCCGCCGCCACATCGGGAGGACGTGCGCTGGTTGAGTCCGTCCCCCATCATCATGGACGTCTTGGTTCCGCGGGAGGATGGTTTGCCCAAGCTGCCCCGCGCACAAGACACCGTGTCGAGCTTCTTGGCATCAGCCAAAAGCGACCGTTCAATCGACTTGAGGTCGTCGGTCGTGAACGTGCCGGCGCTCGTGCGCATGCTCACGAGTTTCGAGTCTCGGAACTGAAACGTTTGGGTCGATTTCCGGGGGGTATATGGTTTGTGGGTCCGGTTAGCTGGGGACCGCAGCAACGACGATGATGATGCATGATGGGACCGCCAAGACGATCGCGACGACGACGGCGACGACGGGGGTACGTGGGTTGTATGGTGGCCGTAATGCAGCGCCGCATCCACTTGCGCGGCAAGGTTGGAAAAGACGGGCAAACTGCTTCGTCGGGAGTTTGTAGCCGACGACGAAGAAGGAGGCGGAGGAGGTACGGAATAGTGATGCCGACCGCGAGGATTGTTGTGATGAGATGCATCGCGGTACGACGGCGACGTGAGCGCCAGCACCGACGACGGCAGCACCATGGGTTGCTGGTATTGATACTGGTGGTGGTGATGGGAGGTTGAAGTTGATGGGATCAAAGGGGTAGGTTTCTTGAACACGGTAAAACTTGGACGGAACGACGACGCGTCGCTGACAAACGAATGCGACAACCCTCTCGGGGGACCGGCGTACCCGTCGCGGGACGACGAACACGGCGAAGAAGACCCGTCGGCGTACGAACCCGCCGCTTCGTCGAACGAATCGCCCGGCACGCTTTTGGCATGTCGAAGCGTCAGATGGTTGTCGTACTCGTCGTGGGCAGGAGGGATGCGTCGACCGGATGATGAGGTTGTTGCAGTGGACGCGGCGACGGTCATGGACGACGTGCGCCGAACGTACTCGTGCAGTGCCCGCGACCGAGCGCTTTGCAGCACATCCATGGGGGAGATATCGTCTTGTTCGTTGTCTTGTTCGTGGTCGTCGGTCTGCAGGAAGGAGGTCATGGTCATGGTCGCGTCCAATGAAAACTGTCGGTGGTCGTGGGGGTTGGTACGTGGTTGCGAGTTGAGAAACGTCGAGTGAACGTGCATCGATCGTTCGCGTGTGTCTTGGGAGCAGTTGATGCACACACGAACATGTACGACCGCCTTCTTGGAGACGGCCGACGACATGGACGCGCGGCGGGGGTGGCGCGGCGCCGACGACGCGTCGATGGTCCACAGGCCCTGGCATTGCATGCACACGACCTCGCCGCACTTTCGACAGCGCACTTTGTGCCTAGAAAACACCCCAAACTTTTTGACGCACACGTGGCACGCTGACCGGTCGCGCTTTGGCACGAGGTCGTGGTCGGGGAGGATGTGTTCGAGACTCAGTCGTTTCTCGTGCAGGTATCGATTCAAACGCAGGACTTCGGTTAGGTGTTTTCGGGTAGCCAGACGCGACACGACGCGCGGCAACGTCCCTTTGAAGTCCACGACCGCCATTTGGGTGACGTTGAGGAACCCAGGGAGGTCGCTTTCGACAAACACGAGGCCCGAGCGCTGCAGACTCGCGCGAACGATGGACGATAGCGGCGGACACGCGGCGATGCTCACCGACTCCCGTGCAAGGATCCAGCCTCGCCGGCCGCGGGCGTCCACGAATTCGTCATGTGTCTACGAGTAACGAAATTCGAAACTGAGCAAAAAAAGAACGCGCGCGCGAAAAACGAGGAAATCCATAAGATACCCACGAAACCGTCGAAAATTCAATGGAATACCATACCTCGAGGAAGCAAAAGTCCCGGGCTTTGCCCAACGCGATGGGGGACTTCATTGCGTGCCACCGCACGGTGATGCTATGCCATGGGGCCGCCGACGCCGGCGGCAAGAGGGTGTAAAGTACATGTGCGTCCAAGCAGTCGTCTTGGTACGTGTCTGCGAACGTGCGGGCGTCGCGGGTCGTAGGGCGCTGGTAGAAAGACGCGACCTCGTCCAATGTTGCCGCGACTTGAGTGACGCACGCACCCATCATGATATTCCCGCCATGAAACTTCTTGCTCCAGTCACGCTTGGATCGGCCTTCGAACATGCGTGCAGACAGAATTAAACTGTCCATGAATCCGCCTCGCGACGATGACAAAAATGGCGGCAGCGACGACTTGACCTCGGAACTGGTGCCGCCAATGGGCGTCCACACGACGTTCTCGTCGCGCATGTCGGCGTGCTTGATCAGTTCCTTGCATGACGTGCGTGCAATGTGCACGAGGTACCGCTTCTCCTCGTCAGGCAGGTCCTTTCCCTTGGTGCTGAAGAAGTCCGCCCCCACGGGGAACATCATGGACGTTGCCGGTGGCATCGCGTTTCGAAATATGATCCAGTCGACTCGCCAGCCCAGTTCCAGCTGGTTACACGCGCCAGGCGGTGTTTTTGAACCCACCAATCAAATGCGTCCGTCGTGTTTTCCACGACGAGGATATGTTGGATCTCATGGCGTAAAATACGTTAAAACACACACAACATAGGAGGTTAAAGTGTTTTGCTTGGGCATTTTGGTGGACATTGACGTTTCTGAAAGTAGATGATACTATGTACTAGTAGTGGTTCCATGAGTAAGTACTCCATTCACAAGGACGACAGCGGCCCTTTTTATGATGGAGATTAATGGACTCGTTTCATTCTGCATGGTTGCTGCCGCACAACTGGCTACTACCTATCATTTGTGTGGGTGGTCAAGTACCAATAATAGATGCATGGTACAGTACCCATAGTTTTACTACAGCTGCTGGGTACGGCGGAAGGAAATCCATTTAACGTGTTTTTATTGACATGGGGTCAGCGCTAACTATACTTGATGTTTGTATGCATACAAAGCAATATGATTTCTGTCGCCAGTCCTGTGACAAATCGTGTCAGGTGATGACACCCTCCCCACTTGCTAGGGTGGGACCATTGCAATAAGTTGGCACATGATTTTTCACAGCTTTGAGCTGTCGTGATGGAGTGGATGTGGCGCTGTTACTAGTAAGTTATAGTAAAAGGGGGGGTGGTCTTGCTTTAGCGGCATTGTTAAGCGGCCTCGGTTTTGATTGACTGGGACAAACAAGACTGTTATTGTACGCAATCTTTGCTCAGCATTTAGTGCGTACCGGCACATATTTATGGGTATGCAAGTACTCGTAATGGGATTGATTGGGGTTCTGGAGAAATATCCAGGAGCTCGAAACATCTTTTGTTTTTCACTGTATGTGGGCTCGCTCTTGGTTAACCATACAGTTGAAACGTGGTTCACGTGTACGTACCCGTCGTACCGTCCGTGCTCACTATGTACACGATACCTCGTCGTGACAACATTCGTACGGTAAGAATAATCGTCATATGTAGGTATGTAACGTTATGGGGAGCACAGGAATTCGGTAAGCATCAGTTGGCGAAACAAGCATCCAGTACCGCATTGAACATGCAGTACGTACAGTACATATCTGTAGCGGTCCCCTTTGCGACGTTGCTCAGGTCTGTCGGTGTGTCGCTCATAAGCTCATTCGATTGCGCATGAATCAACATCAAAGAGAAGAGTTCCCCAAACCTAAGTATTTGGTTTGCAATGCATTGCAATTGTACACAGTTGGGTCTAAAACTACAGTACACCTTGTATGAGGTACTTTATTTACGAATACATGGTGGCGACGTTGATTTGTTGATGCAGTTTCAGTCGAAGGTCACGCAAAGGTCAGCCCCAACAACTACTTCTAATGCATGCTAACGTGAACTTTAGCGCCTAATTTGCACACAAACGTACAAGTACCTCACAACTACCGGTACCAGGTGCACGGTGTGAACAGTCCGTCCACCAACCAAATGAGCACTGTTCAAGCAAGCGTTACATTCGGATACTGTACCGTACATAGTAGTAGCTGTCAAGAAGGGGCACTTTGGCCTGTCTGCTTTGGCCTATTTGGCACATCCGGATTTTGTGCCCTCTGGCTCTGACGGCACAAAACACCGGATAAGGATAGTATCCAGTGTTTTTTTTTTCCCTTTGGTTGGCTGTAAGCAGTCGGATAATCCTCACTTTCAGTTTTGCCCCCGACCACACAAGTGTTCTTTGTGTTCCTCGTGCTCTCGCCCCCTTCCTCAGTGCTACCTCTTTCCTCGTCCTCTTGACAGTAGGATGTGATATGCAATAACGATACTGTATGTTATTTTTACCCCACCAAAAGAATATTCTGAGGCATGTGTGCGAAATGAAATCTGAAACTATCTGAAAGTGTGCTTTCATGTACTACTTACTGTACTACGTAGTACTACTGTAGTATGTAGGATTATTAACTTGCGAATGGCCGTTTTTCCAAGAAATGTTTCCAAAATCGAAATGTTATTCCATTTTCCGAGATTGTGTGCCTCAGGATGCCACCAACATTCAGAACTTTATGCCACAATTTTCTTGAGATTTGGGTGTTTTCTGGCGTAAATAAAATGGACCGAATTGGTCCAACAAAAAATATTTTATGGAGGTTTGTGTTCAAGTTGAAGCCTTGCACTTCGCAGTCAATCGGAAATCGAATGATTTTTCCATTATTCCACTGACATCCAGACAACGTTGTAGATACTTCGTTTCTCCTTTTTATTCATGGGATATGAGACTTTGGGAAATTTTGCAGACTTACCAAAACGATTTATGGCATAATTGTATGGGGTGGGTAGCAACCAAACCAGCCCAATGTTCTGCAAATTAACAGAACCCTTCCTTTGTTTCTGTAACGCCACCAGGCAAACTTTACAGTACCGTTAACGTTACGACCTCATCCACCAATTCATCTCAATGCTTACAGTACATACAGTATCGGAGTCTAGGATGTGAAATGGAAGTACTTCCTCGTAGACCTACCCGTATACACCAATGTTGTCTAGTCATCGTGGTACACTCCAATTAAGAGTGTAAAACAGTACCATTGTTGCTTGGAACTTCCCCTAATTATTGTATAATCGTTATACGGGATTTATACTGTCGTATCATCTGACGACCTCACCTCTTACTAGGGGTTAAGTGCACCCCTCAGTGGTTGGTGATTGCTGACCACTGGCGATGCAGTTAACCCCTGTAGGATGCGGGAAATGACTTTAACAGTTAACCTCAAACGACTTGGCAGCATACCACGCAGCTCGATCGCCCTAGCTCATATCATACCAAAATACACACTAGGGGCTGAGGACTTCTGATTGGCATTTCCTCGAACGCGCAACCTAGAGTGCATGGAACAGGGACTTCGACTCAAAACTGTTCCGTAATTTTTATGGATTTGACATTGAATTGTAAGAAATTATAAAAACCAACTAACGTAACGAGTCAATTTATGGACATGCGCCAATTTATGGACAGGGTGCACCAGCCAATCAAAGTCAAGTTCAACTTACTCTAATACTGAAATACTTTTGTAACCCAATATCGCACACAGAAATAAATTCAAAGAGAATGAATTATCCGAACAGTAGCGAAGGCGCGAGCACCATGGCGCGAAAATCTGAAGCTCATTAAACAGAAAAAGTAAGGTGAAATAGGCAATTTTGTATGCTGTGCAAGGTGAACCACCTTGCGAATTCCATAAATAATTCTGAAATTGTATGATTTTAAAACAGTATAAATTGTATTTTTTTGTATAGTTTCAATTAAATATATCTTCAAGTTTGTATTCTTGATTTTTATTTTTCATGTGTCTGTCGCAAGGTAGGTAGGTGGGTACGACCCCGACGGCGTGATCGAATACGAGCACTGGCCCTGGTCCAATATGTGACGGAGGTACCGCAGCAGCTTGGCGCGCACACGTTCCGATTCCAAGGTCGGACCAACCGCTTGGTTGATCGTCGCATCGACTTGGTGGAGGGCGGGATAGCCCAGGATCGACGGGTTGAGTAGCCGCATACACCGCTCCATGCCTCATGACGCCTTGTTGCGATACATTCTACTCCTGTGATGGCAGTTGATGCAAGGAGCATTTAGATAATTATGTAACGTTAGGCTGTGTATGAGAGCAAGATCATGTGATGTGGTATTCAGGACTCGGTCAATTCTCAATTTACCACTTGCCTACTAACCCAATGAAATTGGTCATTCCACATTCCACCATCCAACCCGTGTCGGTGCCGCACACCTCCCTGCCGGTTTGATCACGTGGTTGCGCGGGCGGTGGCGCAAGACGTCTTGATTGCACCCATCGCAAGTGCTGAAGTGGTGGCTTCAGCACTTTGCGATGGGTGCTACCAAGACCTCTTCCTCCACCGCGTTGGCCCACCAGAGCCACCACGACATTGCAATCCACACAATATAGATGTAGTGATGGTGAGGATCCTGAGACGCAGTACCATTTCTGAGCCTAGTTGGTGGTCAGGATGTCTCATTCCGGACGACGTGGTCGAAATGGTGGAATTGTAATTGACTGTGAGTTGACTTGTCGTTTAAATTCTACATCCTTTGATTTATTATATATACTGTGGCATCTTATATTTGTTTCCATTGAAAACTTCGAATCGAACGAAGTTTTCAATGGAAACAAATATCTGCCTCGAACGTTGAGATGTGCCAC